ACAGTAACTAGTTATTAAAATCTGTCACTGAAAATTCTAAAGGATCTTTCTTAGGCCTTTAGTTAGGTGATGGTGGTAAATAATCTGCATAAAACATTTACTCATGGTAGGGAGTCGGCAGCCAGTGAGTGTATAAAGAAGGATGGCCACCCCTTGCTGATGGAGACTACAGGTGTCTGGTCGGTGTGATGTGCGGTGCCTCCCTTTTCCCTGATCCTAAAAAACGTCCCAGCAAGCTGTGACTGTTGTTGTTAAGTGACCCTTATAAAAATGAGATGCCTATGGCTCGCTCAGAAGCATCATATGACATCCCCAAAATAACTTCTCTATGAAGTAGAGGCGCTAAGAATTGAATCTACAGTCATCATATCTTGGGCCCTCTGGGCTGGGCTATCTCATTGAGAGAAAGGAAGAGGAGGAGGAAGAGTGGGAGAGAGGGGAACACAAAGCCCATTTGTAGTACAGTCAATGCTGAGTCCAAGTGACTGATCATGCAGGACAGAGTGGAACTCCCTGTAGGGATCCCAAGGGTGGAAATCTTTACAAAAGCAGAGCCAGCTTTCTCTTTCTTCAGTGGAGCAGTTAAGAGGTTTGAACCGCTAGCCTTTCAGTTCGCTACGGAGTGCTTAACGTACTGCAACACTATGGCTCCAGGGAGAGAGAAAGCAAGAGTAAAATAAGAAAACCAGATGGATGAGGAAGAAGTATTTCAAGGAGAGCTTGAAGAGCCATTCCACAGTACAGGGGAGCGAGTTCCCCAAAGCACACTGACTCCAAAGTAGCCCGTCCTCCATGCACAGAGATGCACTGTGCATCGGCAACAGATGCAAAGTTATGTGGGGCCTGAGGTACAGATAGGAAATATTACTAACAACAGGGTTTTTATTATTATTTCTGAGTTAATTCTGAAACTAACATACAGGGATTGGGGTTAGTCCTTCCACATGAAGAGTAGGTTGGCTAAGGAGAATGTTTAGAAAGAACGGATCTGGTGACAGAAAGGGGCTGAGAGCTTTCTAAGCATCTGAGCAGTCAGATGACCCTATTGTGGAGATTTGGGGCAGTATATGACTCTCACTGCACATCTAACCTGGTGGCCCATACTGCCCAGTCACAGTTCCCCCCAGACCCAGTTGCCTCTTCCTATAGAAAGACAACTAGAATGAAGGGAAAGGCTGTATTGGGATCTGGCCACTTCCAACCAATTCTAAGAACTTTGAAGAACCAGCTAAGGCTCCTAAGAATCTTTCATCAGTTTCAAAGGTTACTTAAGGCTTAGCAGGAAAGCTTACAATTTTAAAAGACCCAAGTCGCTTCAAGATGTAACCGCAGTAGGAAAACAAGCTGTGAGCCTAACAGAGGTGTTGAGACCAGCTTCAAGGGCAGTAGGGTTTAGGGTGGAATTATCTCCCAGTGGGGCAAGTGATCTGATTCACCATGAGAGTCCCTGAAAGCAATACTGTCATGAGGTAGTTTCTTGTTTTCCTCTTTCAGAGAACATCTTTAAAATGTAAAGTCAATCATGCCCTGCATTTACATAAGAATAGCAGGATGCAATAAGAAGGAGCCTGGGACATGCTATTGAGCATTTTTATTCTGATCTAATTGGGAGTCTCTCTCCTCTTTGACTGGGGGAAGGCAAACACAAGAGAATCAGCTACGAAATCCTGTGTGTCCCTGGCCTGGAGGAGCAATAATACAGAGCTGGGCTCACCTGTAGGGCTGCGTGATGGTGATGGCCTCACAGGTGAAGCCAGCCCTCAGCTAGCCCGCGTTTCCTCCTAGAAAAGGTCTCTCATGATTTGCATAGATTAGGCCATGCTGTTCCTACCCGAAAATTATTATTATTTTTAATGATTATAGATATTTGCAGCCTCCCAAATCTACCTACCCAAATGCTCTCTCACACTCTGAAAAGAGCAACAGGGCTTTGGTTGGGGATGTGAGTTATTTTTCAGCTCTATCGTATTTCCTGAAAGCCCACAGGGACAGTTCTACCCTGTCCTGTAGGGTGGCTATGGATTGGTGTCAACTTAATGGCTGCGAGTCATCGTATGTCTTTGCTTCTTTTTTTTTTTTAAAGGAAGGAAATAGATCTAAGTGCCCTTCCACACAGAGAGACGAGGATTCGCTGGCTCTCTCAAGTCTTGAAATGCTGCGGATGATAAGGAAAAGAGCGGTCTGCTGTGTGGTGTGCCGGGAGGGCTGTCTGCAGCCAGTGCTGCACGAGGACAGCGCCCTGCACAGCTGCGGGCCGCATAATCCACAGAGCGGTTTCCCCGCATCTCCCTGTCTTTGTGACAGGAAGAACGGGAAACAGTAAATCACAGAGGCCAGGAGGGTTGGCCAGGGACAGGCGAGCCTCAGTAGGTGCATTTCACACTACTAATCAAGAGGTCCGTGCTGCTGTGCCTCACTCAATCCCAGATTCTCTTTCAGTAGAGACGGTGCCATTTCACAGTGACTGCTAACCATCAACTGTTCTCAGTGGGGACATTTTGGTGCCAACTTCTTCAAAATGTGACAGTTCCACTGTGGCGAGGTCTGCTAGCACACATGCACGGCCGGCTCTCCTTGCCAGTTGCCCAGGGTTTGAGGCGAGATCAGCAGAAGCGAGTTTTTTTAAATTTCCCGCATTGCGGGCACATGTGCACACACACCAACCGGCCGGCCATCTTTCCCTGAACTATGTTTCTAGACACGAAAATCTGCCGCTTTGATCGTTGATCTGAACTCCCATGGGATACAGGTTTTCCAAGATGTGATTTCTTAAATTGATGGTAATTTTTTTAATGGTTTTAAAAAAAAGTTTTTCCTCTCCAAATAATGATGGGTCCCTAGCTATTTTCTTCTGAGAACTTAAGTAATTTAATGGGGATGATTTTTTTTTTAACTTTTATGGCCAGGTGGCTCTAGGGGATATTTTGTTGAGCACTGATTAAAAATAATTTCTTCTAAATGAGACCTGACCACAAAATGGAACCATTAACGGGCAGGGACGTGTCACTAAAGCGGAAACCATGCCTGATTGCCTCTTGTCCCTCCCACCACACAAGCATTTTCTTCTTCTTTTTCTTCTCCTTTTCTTGTTCTTAATAGCAGAGTAAATAAGCAGCCAGTGAGGCCTAAATGTTTTTTCGGCCAAAAAACAGAGTCCAAACTCCTCAGAGAAAACATTTGGCCTCTGTGGTTTTGTAATATGTTCCAGAACACTGAGTTCACTGAAGAACGTTGTGGAAAACTCCCGTCCACTGGAATGATGCTGGGGAATGTTACAGTATCAGAAGTTTCAATTGGTCCTTTTCCTGCAGGCCCATAATGAGGCTTGTTAAAAAAAAAAAAATAGTGCTATGTGGAAGTTCTCATGGGAAAAATGAATGGCAAGAAATTCTAGCTTTAAAAGAAACAGCTAATCTGCTAGTTTGATTGTTCTTCAAAACTTACGCTGAACCAATGAGCCTAATTAAAAACACTTGGCCTACTTCTATAAAGCATCATAGCTTTCTCTATGCTTCGTTTGTATACACCACAAAACTCCAGATAGACTATTATTTTTTTCAAGTGCTCACTAACAAAGTGCTGACTTTGTTGGGATGGCTGAGCTAATTTCTTGAACTCAGTGTGAAACCTTAGCTAAACAAAATTGTGGTAATTTTCCTTAATTTGTAAAAGTGATTGGAGTGCAAACAAAATTTTCCTCTTGGGTCAATCCTATAATTTTCAATTAACTAAAACTAATAGGCAGGCAGGCACCAAACCTGCATTTTGTTTAAAGGACTGGGAGGCATTTCCAAGGGTCAGGATTCATTAATTGTTTTTATAATTTTGAGAGAGAGAGAGATGCTCTGAGTGACTACAGAGCATGGTAGGTTTTGCTCTTAGTCTGAGGAATTTTTGAAAAAGACAGGAATGATGCTTTGAGGTAAAATATCACACCCAAAAGAAAATTCATCCGTTTAATTATATGGTTATAATTAGGATGTGTTCATCGTGTAATAGAGTCATCCCTTCACTGCTCAAGGAGTCTCTTTGTGTGGAAGCAACTTCATCGCGCCTTGTGGTCCTTTATTGAATGAAGGCTGAAACCTGGGGCCCGTTTCTGGAAACAGCTACCCAGGAACGACGGATACAAAGAAGAGACCCCAGAACTCCCCTCCTCAGGTGTGATCCTGGGACGCTCAGCACCAGCACCACTTTGGCCCTTGTTGAAGAACACAGAATCACGGATCTACTGGACCAGAATCTGAACTTCCCCAAGATGACCAGGTGTGGGGTTGGCACACTGTTCACTGGGGATCACTGTCCCATGGTAATTATTAGGGATTTAGCTTGTGCTCTAAACGCACGAGAGAGCTTAAAAAAAATGGTGGGAAAGCTCCCGTTCTCTCTTCATCCCTCCCTCGTTTTTTTCCAGAGGGTTCTAGGCATCTGAGAGAATTCACATTTACCCTGTAACCCTAGATTCCTACCACAAGGTGGGTCTATGCGCCAAGATTCCTGTGAGAGGACAAAGTGCAACTCCTGGGGAAGAAAGCGCCAACCCAGAATTACACAGGAAAACCACCAGGCGCATTTACTACAAGTGCTATAACTGGACTAGAAAAAGTTGCCCCGCTCATTAGCGCTCACCTCTGTGCTATGAAACAAACAAGCCCCGATCGAGCTGGGTTAACCTCCAGAAAGACTCAAGCTTAGCTGGCATCACTTCCCCCTCGCTTTATGTCTCATGGCTTAGAATAAGGTATTCAACCAACTCAGCTGACGGACTTAGTTCAAACAAAGATGACGATCATTCATTCAGCCGAGATGCTCAGCTGAATTCTTCAAAACAGGCGAAACCAAAAGCCCAACTGGTCATACACACAGTGACATGGAGAAAGAAAGATGGTCCCAATGGAAGCTAGGTTTAAAAATAAAATGTACACTTAGGCACAGAAGGTAAAGTAAATGACTTGCAAGACCACGGCACGTCTGTGCTGCCCATCAGCAGTGGCTCTTACCTGTGTAAATGAATCTTCCCGGAGTCCCTTTGCAGAACTGTTTGGATTTGTAGGACAGGGTGACTTCTACCACACCAGGGATGTGCCGAGGAGGGGTCTGCACTCGGATGGCATGCGGAGTGATCAACTGGAGGAGACATTGAGGGGGAAATGGTCATTGCAATGTATAAAGGACCCATGTCTCAGCTTTCCTGTCAGCTCGCAACAAACCAAGCTTTCAAACACACAGTTAACCTGGGCCTGCTTAAATCCAACCTTCACAGAGCCCGCACAAAAGACACTGACAGCCATATTTGCAAGTGCTCTGCATAAAGCCAGAATGACATTATTGGCTTTCCCACCCAGCAGACACTGCTTCCTGGTTTGCAAAGTGAACCTGGCCTAATGAAATGATTTATCTAACACAGGAAATCCTTTGGAAAGCCTCTGTTTGAAGCAGACCTCCAAATCAGAACTGAGCTCTGTTATGCCTTTCCAGAAGTCGGTGGGTCTGGTGTTTGAGCAGAGCACTTGAACATGTGGAAAACACGGAGCTAGGCAAACAGAGCGGGCCCAACCCACTCTGTTTAGCTGCAGAACACACATAGGAAATGTCCCCTGAAGACCGGTTGCTGCAATAACTGACAGGCACAAAGAGCTTTAAAGGGAAAACCAAAGAATCGGTCCCCGTCCCTCGCTAGCCTACAGGACTACCCATAAAGGAAAAGAGAAGGCTGGGGAAGGGCTGCAGAATGATGCCTGGTCTATCATGCAAGGCCATGTGCACAACGAGAAAGTTCACTTCTGAACCCTGCTGGCAATCAGATTACACTGTGAAGTGGAATTTAGCTTTTATTACTCTTATCTTTGTTTATGTAACTAAAATGTTATTAATGGCCATAAAACTGGCATTATCTTGGTCTTTGAAAAATCCAGCCCTGGTATTTGACGGTTGACCTCTATGGGTGCTGGATTCTCTATGTTATCTCACTCTGGTTTTGGCAATTGCCCCCTCCTTGTCTCCTTCCAGATTCACTTAACTGAGTCACCATGCAATGGGTTAGCACATGAATTTGTCTTAACTCCGGCTTATATTATTCTTACAGGGGCAGCTTAGAAAGGACTTCTATTTCCACCTGAAAACCAGGCCCCGCTCAAGTGTTTCCCCCAGAGAAGTCCTGGGACAAAAGCATGTGAGAAACGATGGCTATTGCTAAAAATCCTCAAGTATTTTCATTCAGTGTGCATGAAACATAAAGAAAAAGTCTTCACCATAAAAATACTTTAACTTGCCAATTAGGAATGCTTTATCCACTTCCACAGACTATATGGAGCCTTTGTTTCTTAGCTGAGGATGCACAAAATCGATTTCAGAAGGCCACATTTCTATGGAACTTCTTGAGATTAAGTTGCTTTTCCTGACTAAGTGTTGTCAATGGCTAAGTGTTTATCCATAGACATGTAAAAATAAAGAAAATAACAACAACAAAAACACAATATTCAAACACTTCTAAAATGTAGTATACAAAAGTTAAGTCAAAACAAATTCTAAACAAAGTATGTTTAAGTATGTCTCTATCTTCAGTAGAGAGCTGCGTACAAGTTCACTTTCAAACAAGATCCAAGCACAGTAGTGGCTTCCCGGGGATTCTACTGCAGCAGTTCAATTCAAGGCAAGAGGGTCAACTCAGGCCATGGCAACGTGTGTGTGTGTGTGTGTGTGTGTGTGTGTGTGTGTGTGTGTGTGTGTGTAGAGGGACGGGACGTCCAAAGGGGTAATCTTGACAGATTATCTCAAAGGTTAGGATGATCATGGGGCTTATTTTGAAGAAGTTTTAAGAAAGCTCAATATTGCCTTGCTGAGAAAAATGGCCAATAATGTTTTCCCTGCTCCTGCTCCTTCATCAAGGGTAGCAAAAATGACCCTACAAGACTTCTGTGGGAAACCTCCCCCTCTTCCACTCACAGTCCTGAGCTTGCCCTTTCAGATTTCTTTTTGTTCCCTAAGCCAGAGGACATTTCGAAGGAGCACAATTTGAGTCCTTTGAGGATGCTGAAATTGCTGTTTTAACATGGTATAAATCAGAGCATGCAGGATTCTTCAGGGAAGGGTTAAAGAGATGGACATTCCACCTTCAGAAATATGTAGACAGACAGAGGATATGTCAAAAATAGCTTTATATCTTTGTCAAATCAAATTTTGTATGCTTTTGTCCCACTACTTTTGACTGACACTCATAGATAACCTAAAATAAGCAAAATACTCACAATCCCACTTTGTGGTTGCTCGGGGCCATGTCATGGGTTCCCACTCATAGCAACCCTATTGACAATAATAAGCACTGCCCCACCCTCCTCCATTGTCACAGAAGTTCCTACATTTGAGTCTGTTGATGCAGCCACTGTCAATCCATCCCATGGAGAGTCTTCTTGTTGCTGACCCTCTACTTTACCAAGGATTCCCTTCTCCTTCTGATAACATGTCCAAAGTACATGAGACAATGTTTCATTATTCTCACTTTAAGGAGGATTCTGGCTTATACTTCTTCCAAGAGAGATGTTTGCTTCTTCTTGAGGTCATCAATAAAGACCCATGCATCAATTCTTCAAATGTGTCAATTCTTCTCTGGTCTTCCTTATTCGCTGTCCATCTTTCGAATGGCACGTATATGAAGCAACTAAAAAGGCCATGGCTTGGGTTGGCACCATTAGTCCACAAAGTGACTTCTCTGCTTTCCAGGGCCATGAAGGGCTTTCATCGATTTCCTCAGCTGTTACTTTCAAGGGCACTGATTGTGGCCCCATGTAAGCGAAATCCGGGTCCCTGAGGTCGCCTGTTTGTCCAGGTGTGAGGGATTTGGGGCTCCTCAGTTGATCGACAGTCCATACTGTAGGCTGGAGTCTTTGATCTTCATCACTAACTGCGTCAAGTCCTCCTCACCTTCAGCTAGCAAGGTCATAGTCTTCCGCATATCGCAGGTTGTTAGTACACTTTCCCCCAAACCTGGTGCCTCATTCTTTCTTATGCAATCCAGTGTCTTGGATTAATTGCTCTGCAAATAGACTGAATATGTACAGTGATAGAATAAAACTCTGACCTATCATTCCTGATTTTAAGCCATCCCATGTGCTCTTCTGTTCAAACGACTATCTCTTGGTCTATGTACTTATTCCACACAAACACAGTGAAGAGTTCTGAAATTCCCATTCTTCACAATGTTACCCACTGTTTGCTATAATCCACACAGACAAATGGCTTTGCATAGTCATTGAAACACAAGCAAACCGCTTTCTGGTATCCTCTGCTTTCTATGGGCATCCATCTGACAGTAGCAACGGTATACCTTATCATGCACCCTTGTCTGAATCTGCCTTGAATTTCTGGCAGTTCTCTGTTGATGCACTGCTGTGACTATTTTCTCATTACCTTGAGCAAAATTATGCTCGTGTGTGATATTAATGATATTGTTCAATAATTTCTGTATCCGACTGAATGATCTATGGGTCTCTTCCAGTTGGTTGTCTTCCAAGTTTCTTGGCATAGACAAGTGAGTTCTTCCAGCATTGCATCCGTTTGATGAAATATCTCAACTAGTATTCCATCAATTCCTGGAGGTTTTCTCTTCACCCATGTCTCAGGAGGTGGCTTGGACTTCTCCCTTCCGTATCATCAGTTTAGAAATACCACTCAGGCTTGGAAATCAAGATCAGCATTGCAAAATTCCGTGGGTTGCCTTGTCCTATTAAACCAAAGTCCTAAGTGGCAACTGACATACAGGGCTGCTTTTCACCTACACTAAATGACGCCAGGTGGCTGTAATTTTTTAAACTATTTCAACTTTATCCACTTTCTCTGTTCTCTCCCTACCCCTACCCCTGGATGTTCTTTGCACCTTTCTAATGGTTCTTCTAACCTTTAAGTGTAGAAAACAGGAAGTCAAGTAATAATGTACAGAAAATAAGAGGGAAGTTTTGAATGATATTAAATGATGATCTCATAAAATTAAGTGTGTGTTTCATCTCAGTTGTTTGGACAACTTTACTAGGCTGTTGGCATCTACTATATTGCTAAGATTTTATAGATGGCTCCTAATCTGGTTACAACAATGACCATATTTCTATCCCCTTTTGTCTTCAGAAGTGAAATAGTCAACTTGCTTACCCAAAGTTATCTAATAAAGAGAAAAAGGTGGCCCCAATGTATTTCCCAAATTGTAGGGACAAATAATTGTTTCTAATCACAGAATAGACATTGTTCCTATGGGAAATTTTTAAAGGTAGTAACAAATTCCAAATTTTCAGACCCGCAGACTGCTCGCAAACGTTTGTATCCCGCACTAGTTCATTTTCATTTATTGTCTGATCCTTGGCTGTGTCTTTGACAGAGGAGGTCCCCATATTGTGATTGTGACATGGTTCTATTTTTAGGAGTTGCATAGGTTATAGCACAAATGTTAATTCACAACAATATTTAGAAGAATTTTCAGTCAATCAGAAAACGCTTTATCTGCGATCCCTTTTCTCAGAGGAAATAGATTTTAAAGATGGAATGATATTAATAAATACATGGATAGAAACTAATTTTTTTCTAATAATAAGGACCTGCATTATGAGTTACTCCACTGAGCACTGAAATACATGGGTTTTATGAATTGATTAAATATTACTGTAATAAAACGACTGGATGAAGGTCGTGTTTTAGCATAAAGCATAAGGCTCAGGAAATTCACACAAATGTTCATTTACAATTCCATTTTCTATTTTTATCAGTGGCTCTAACTAAAGGAAAGATTCCGTCTTAAAACAATTATCCTGCACAATTCAGGTAGAATTTGAACCATGATGGAAAGAATGAGTTTGTGGATGTTGTTCTTGCTGGGGATATTAACCTGGGAGTCATCTTTAGCACCGGCACAGGTGATTCATGGCCCAGGGAGGAGAAACTAAAACATTGTACCTGTGTTTCAATGTTTGGTGGCTAAAACCGACCCCGTGGTTGTCTAGTGATCTGTTTTCATTATGGTTACAGCCAAGAAAACCCCACGGAGCAGTTCGCACTGTAAGGATACACTTGTAGGGTATCCATAGGTCAGAATCAGCTACAAACCAACTAATCACAACCACCACCAATCAATTTGAAAGCCTCAA